AAGCATATCCATACATAGCATTCTCTTTACCTTTGTAATATTGTAATTTTCTTAAGAATTCACCAATTGCTGAACGAGCCACTGTTAAAGGCCTTCTTGGATCCAAGGAAATGCAAAAATCAGATGCATCGTCCTCACCGACTACTTCATATGTGCGTACCATAGAGTCGTCAGCTTCAATCAAAACTCGCAGAATCGCATAACAAGCACAATAATGTGCTAGACACCATGATCCAATGTCATCAGCATTTTCTGCTGGAGAATAAAACCCAATGGAAGTTACAACTGAAGGAATCATTGACAACCAATTGATATAGACTACATCTGAGACATCGCCTTGAACACAGTCGGTAGTCAAACCGAACTGCTCCAGAACAAGAGGTAAGTCAGATAAATTAATTCCAACGCACTCAGCTCGACACTTATCTATTGCAGATGAAAGGTTTAAAAACTTGCTGTCATACGTTTCTCCTGGTTCATACCAACTTTTTACAGGACCTCCATTTATGACATATTCAGTAGTTTTCGTGTGGAAATTTCGTTTTCCATAACAATCACGCCGAAACAGTTTACCTGAACCATATCCCGTCAGTTCATGAAGTCCAACTTGTAATTCAAAGGAACTTTCAGCAAGTTCCACGTACATTTGTTTGTCTTCATTACGTAGAAATTCTGGTTTAGGATCTTCGAGACGAACACTAAGTACATTATTCAAAGAAACATTTTTAAATCCATCAACTTGTCGTACATCATCATAGTTAGGAATATTAGTTCTGACAGGAATTCCAGCAGTTGCAAACGTCACCACATCCAAACTAGTAAAGTCTGGCTGTAAGAAATTAACTTTTTCAAATGTAGAAGGCCATGATAAATTTGTTAACAACCTTTCAGCATTATTTACAAGTCGCTGGAATTTTTTAGACACTGACCTATTTACAACAGCGACAAATGATTCAAACTTTGCACGAACGCCAAAGGGATCACGGTATGACTCGATAAACCCAATATAGTTTACAACAACAGGGTTCTTATCTTTAACCCATAACCTGAAGGCATCTTTGTGAGTGGCTACTGAGCCAGTAGTGAAGCTTTCAGCATACTGATGCCACATTTCTGATTCAATTTGGTTAAGCGAATGTGCTTTAAAATCTTTACAACAATCGACTAGTAACTCCATCAGCTCACTATAGTCACCATATTCAAGCTGCAAAGATGTGTCCGAGGGAAGGGCATCTCTTAACTTCTCACGACGTTGACTTGGAGGGATTTGCAGGTCATGGTAACGTTGGGCTAACTGTCTTTGTTTTTCTTGGATAATAGGAGCGTCGAAATGACTTTCTGCAGCAAGCGTGTCAGCCTGGACTTTGAATGTATCTATACGTTCACAATGAGTAGCTACATCAGATTCAAGCAAGTTGTACCGCTTTTGTACGTTCATCACACCGTTTAGATCACGAACGACATCCTCTGAGGCTATCTGAGCTTCAACATCATTCAACCATAACTCGACATCTTCTGTGTTGCGAGCGAACTGTTGTTGCCTACTTGCTTGATCTAAATCTTTCTTCTTGTCTCCCATGGCATTTACGAGATGAGACCAAGTTTCATCCAACTGTTCAATCTTTACTTTTATTTCTGGCGAGTTGTAGTGGTTTGCATTTAGCAAATCCTGACCTGTCTTTTTAATATCTTCAACGCGGGATTGGTTCGCTTGTATTTCTGCCTCAAAACTCTGATGCTTCTGCACCTTTGTTTGCAAATTCGTGGAGTCTTTGTAACTTTCATCAACTGCATTTCATCTGCATCTCTATCGAACATTTGGTAACGGTGGGAATCTTCAAGACGCTGACGGAGGTTCTGAGCTTTCTCCTTTAATGCATTTCGTCTATTTTGAAGACCTTCCTGAATCTCATCAACCTGTGCAGCCGCATAGTGGTTTGATTCGATTAATTTTGCAGCGAATTCATCAAGTTGTCGCATCTTTTCTTCTTGTGCTAGAAGCGACTTTTCGAAGTCTTAATGTTTCCTTATGAGTGCTTCCACAGAATCGAGTGAGTCTCCCACATCTTTTATTTCTAGGAAGGCCTGTTGCTTACCAATCCAAGATTCCGACTGTTCAGCGTCGCGGTAAAAATACAGAAGGCCCATACACTGTTCTAGCTGTTCACGTCTTTCTTCACACAACTGCATCAGGGAGGCTCTCCCTCTTTCAAGGGTGGAAAGTTTAGCAGCTATGTCTCCACTACAGGGATGGCCAACTCTTTGTAATGCCTGACCTTCTTGCATGCATGTATCGAAACTGTCAGCTTGAGAATTTATCTCAGCGGTATATTCCTTATGTCGCTCTACTTGGGCTTCAGCACCAGCTACATCCTTTGCCAAATCATCCGCCGATATTAACGTCTTCATGTCATTTATCCAGATGCTCAAGTCTCTCCAGTCAGCCAAAAAGCGATGCATCTTGAATGACTCTTCCAGTTTGCCTTCTCCTACCTACAGCCTGACTTTTCAGCTTATCCCATGCAGTGATTAAGGCATCATACTTGCCTTGTATAGTGTTTTGCGAATCAGGATGCTTCTGTGCAAGCGCCTTAGCATCATTTCCAAGTTGAACAATCTTTTTATCTGGGGCAGTCAAATCCCTTTCTAATGCTTCGTGCTTCCTTTGTAAGGCTTGGACTGAGGCAAGATCACGACCACAGTCCTCAATGGATAAAGGAATGCACTTTTCATTCACCAACGATATAGCTCTATCTATGTCTCTAAAGAAGCGCTGTATCTCATAGGCTTTTCTTGTCGTTTTCTAGCCAGATCCTTCAGACGTTCTATAGCTTCGCGGACTTGTCTGAACTTTTCTATGACTAGGGCATCCTCAGGAAATTTCTCTTTTAGAAGTTCATCTGCCTTCCGATAGATGTCTTCTGCACGACTTTCTTGATTCTCGAGATCTTTTGTAAACTCATTAAACCCTTTCTGAAGTGTCTCAGCATGTTACAAGTCTTGACCTAAATCCTCTGATGTTACGTAAGTTTCTTTTTCACGTATCCAGAAAAGTATCTCCTCGACTTGGCGTAAAAACTGGACAAATTTAAGCGTTAGGTTAATAAGACGTAATTTTTCTCTGAAAATAGCCATAAGCCTTTCCCACAGGGCATGCAGTTCATCAAGACGGTTTTTGATAATATCTGTTGCGTAGTGTCCCTGACCAATCATTTCTTCTCCCGCAGAATCCAGAGCTGACAGTGTTTCAGCATGAACTGTTACTTCGAACTCAAACTCCTGATGTTTCTGTTTTTTCAGATGAAGATTACTGAGTTCTTTAAAATCCTCATTTGCATATGTTTGCAGTTTTTTATTGATCCAACACTCAAGTTCATCGGCATCCTTCTTAAAATATTGATATCTTTCAAGCATGTCCATAAACTTAGATATGGCTATGGTGAACTCACCGTTAAGAGATATAGTGACTTTATGGGAAGTAGAAGGTTTGTAAGGCGATTTATTGTGACCAGAACATTCGCGACTACCTTGTCGTAATCTTTCTAATTCCATTTCTTTCTCTTTTTGGACCATGCGCAATTTCGCTAGCTCCAATTCTACCATACGGTGTGATTTATTCTCTTTGCTTCCAGGGAAATCAGCCTCATTACTCTTTTCTAACTGTGGAGTTAACGATGGCATAGTTTCATAACTTTCGTCTGCCATACTGTTCGAAACTTTGTAGGATTATTTTTGTCCTACAGATTTAGTCCTTTCTCAATATTTATATTTTTTTAATATTTTTGGTTACAGCTTGATGCCACCTTGTATTTTCAGTACAAGTATGGAATTTTCAGCATGGATATCGGTAGCCCAAATTTTGCAGACCGACCATAGATATCGGGTGTGCGTCAGCAGGGGATCGAACCTCGGATCATGTGCATGGTCGGCGAGAGTGCTAACCACTGTGCCACCGACGCACACTGTAATACTGACGACACAGAGTCTTGGCTTAGCTATAGTTAAAACAGAATGACTTGACTTAAACTTTATCTGTTTCTAAAACATAAAATAAATCATACAATTACACCAAGAAAAATGTACAAATCCACTGTCATTCAAAAAAGGACAAAAGCGTACCGAACAGTATTGAAGGAACGGACAAATGAACAGTTAATTAATTACATGTACATACAAATAAAGTGACAGACAACAAAGAACATTCAAGGTCACATCACGTGGTGAGAGTTACAATAAATTGACCAATAATCGCGACAAGAAGGTCACATCATATTGATTAGCTGTCTATCATATAGTCCATCTACCTGTCGTGATTAACAATATGTTCATAAAGCCAAGTTAAACTTTAGACACCAGTCACTTCCAATCAGCGAACGACGTCAAATTATCCAATGAGATTCACGGCTGAAATTATCCCGCATGCTCAAGGTCATTGATGGAGTGAGACGCTCAAAGGTCATTTTCGTCCATGTTAGTCGGTTATGTTGGATTGCAGTTTCGTAGCCGTTCGTTTACACATTGGTTTCACGTTCTGTTGGCATTTATAGGTGATTCCCATGTAGTGATAGCATTCTTTTGTAAAATAGTACTGTTCTTCACACGAAAATAGCCACATTTTGACGTAGTCTTCATTGAATGACACTATGTCGAAAGCTGCACCTTCTACAAGAAATAAACTATTTGTGTAGATGACATTACCTCCAACCACCCCATCTTCTTCATTGTAGAGATGTTTTGACGCATTCAGTATGAAACACTAATCATTACAACCAATATGCTAAGTGTGTCGCAGTCAGATTAAATGACGCGGACACCAACATAACTAGCCAGGAAATGAGAATTCTTATCAATCCAGAAAACATATAACAAAAATTTTATTAAAAATTATTGACAAAAGAAATTTGCCGAGCGAAATTTCAAACAACATGCCGGATAAGTCCAGCCAGATTCACGAATGTAGTTCAATGTTGTATAGCGCCTGATTCATTTCAATGCGTGCCCTTACAAGGTTACGTTTGCAAATCTAGGAGGATAGTGTCTTTCAGTATTGCTTGGACTTAGGCTTGCTTCGAAAGGAGAGGGAGGTATCATGACCTTAAAAAGCTATATTAGGTCAATTGATGGATTTGTCCATCGTTGTGGTATATGCTCCAAGCGTGTTAGCATTAGAGAGGGTAAGTTGATAATTTTAATATTTCGTAGGAACCTTTTTTGCAATGTCGCACCTCTCCTTGACGCAAATTTTATATATCTGCAACTACTGGGTATTAAAACAGCCAGTGAGAGCAGCAGCTGCGGAGACGGAGAACAGCCTCGTCTCAACAGTTCAATGGTACCAGTATTGCAGAGATATTGAATCCTGGAAAATCGAGAAGATCACTTCGTTGTTGGGTGGAGAAGACGTTATCATGCACGTGGATGAAACTGTGATGCTGAAAAAGAAATACAACCGTGGTCGCCAGCGAGCGAATAATATCTGGGTGATAGGTTTATACGATACTTCCTTACGAAAGGGATTCGTTGAAAGAATAGGAGATAGAAAGGCGACAACGTTAATACCTATTATAACGAGACCCATCAAACGGGGTTCAATTATACACACGGACGAGTGGAAAGGTTATAATTCGCCTTCATCCTTGGGATATAGTCATCACCGAGTGAACCATTCAAACGATTTTGTGGATCCAGTTGCCGGAACTCATACAAATTCTATTGAAGGATTTTGGGGCCGGTTGAAAAATCTGGTAAGGGCTATAAATGGATCCCGGAAGGATCTCATTTATAGTCATTTAGATGAATATATATAAACATATATATACAGAGTGTGGTGCGACTTTCCTATTGACAGTCCGTTGCTGAATTGGGAAATGTTTCTGTCCCATGTTCGTGAAAGATACCCGTTGTAATTGTTTTATCCTATTTTTTATGCATTTTTCTATAAATATACATTACCACTTATCATAAACGCCTCTTTCTTGTGATTGGTCCGTTCAAGGTCGTTTGCTGATTGGTTGTTACTGGTGTCTAAAGTTTAACTTCGCCGGATTTCATCATGAGCTGACAGCATTTGGAGAACCACTGGAAAACCTGGGAGGATTGGACAGCTGTTTCGTCCTAGTTTGTGACTCTGAGGATATATATATATCACCTGAGGTAATGGTGTAGTCAGTGGTGAAAGTCTGGAGATGTGATCTGTGGTTACTTCACATTTTTCATGATCCTCCCTGATTTTAACTGTGTAATGATATTGGGATATCAGTTTGACGTCTTATTCTTGAGGCTTATGTAAGTTTTAAGTTAAGTGCATGTTGAATTTTGGCTGTGATTGACGAATTCATTAAAACGCTTTGTTTTTAGCTGTGCAGTCTGCAGTTCTCTGTCATCTGAAGTCCCAAAAGTGATAAACAGGCTTCATCACTAAACTTGAATGTACACACATATTTCATTATGTTGTAGTGAAGTTGTGTCTACGCCCTCTACTACTCATTCAAGAAGAGAATAATTAACAGATGAAGCACTAACAAAGCCTTTAATTCTCAATCTAAGATCTGAAATTCTCTACTAATTACCCTCGTGTTTGCTCTGTTCATTTTTCCCGTGATCAGTTCTTTTCATCGGGAAATTAGTATGTACAAACTGGTTATATTGAAACTAATCTTAATTTGTTTTTGATCCTTTTCTACCTGAATTTCCTGTAGCTTCTCTTTCAATGCATGGGAATTAGTCAGCCTAGAATTTGACCAATTTCTAAATAAGCGATGATATTTGTGTTATCTTCGATAATTCACATGTCGAAGTTTTCTAATCTGTCATACTTTTCCCACGCTATCTTCGTTGATCCGCTGACTTCGACATCTATTGGTCTTACCATTTTTCTTCTTTTTAACAGGGAAAGGTTGAAATCACAGAAGAAGGCATTAAATTACTTGGAAAATTGACGAAATCATTGAATTCTGCCAACACAACAAATGGTGGATGCCCCATAGCTGAAAGTCCAATGAAAGAAAACATTTCAACGCCACATGATGGTAAAAGCAATACATCTAAGAAAAGGAAACGTGTAGCTACTCCTTCTCCTGAGAGAGTTAAACAACCCAGTCGAACTTCATTAAAGGGAACGAAGCACAATTGTGAAGGAGATGAACATTCTTCTCAATCTGGTATTACCGTTGGTACTTCTTCGTCAGTGCATATTCCTCCCTTTCATACTGAACAGCCGATAACATCTGTAAAACAACCCACCAGTGTCAGGTTTCTCGATGCTTTTGAATATGGGGAGGAATGGCTTCCTGGCTTGTTGAAACCAACGAACTTGAAGAACTTCATCAGGTGAATTTGTTATTTCGGTTATATATTTCTAGAAATGCTTTCCATGGCTCACCACGCCAGGTTTCTGACCCATATTTAATATAAAGCGGCTTACTTAACAGTGGTGTTAGACAGAATCCGAATTTCGTTCTTTATACTGTGGAGTGCAGCTGATTTCAGAGTTATGAATTCTGCCTTGCCTTTACGATTCTTGTTTTGATATCCTCGTCCATCCTTTCTACTATAGTTGACACGATGCTGCCTAGATAAGTGAAAAAGAGGCCTCTTTCAAATTTCTTCCGTTGACAGTGATTAATGGTTGTTATTATTGTTGTTGGTTATCGGGTATTTTCATCACTTCCATTTTCTCTGTGCTCACTTAAAGTGTTGTCTCGTGAATCTGAATAGCTCAGTGGTAATGTCTCTGACTGCAGGACTCCACTGAGCGACCTGGCTTGTTGAAGTCTCCCAGAGGTGACGTCGTTAGTTCTTTCAAGATTCCAGATGCGCCTTTCTGGCTGGCGTTAATGCCAACAAGTAAGAAAGCTAGGTCCACACAGAGATTCCTGCCTATTACCTTCAACCATGTAAACCAACAATTCAAAGTGCGACATAGTAGCTAGCCACCTAGTTTGATGGATGTCGAAGGCTGGATTCATGACGCTAAATACCATCTTGTGTCTAGTCGTATTATGTTGTGAATGATCTTGCGTAATCGAAAGAGCTGACAACTAATTCGTTCATAGTGATGAATAATCATTTGGAAATGCTTATTGATAAAGAACAAGGAGGAACAAATAGACTAAGAATGGCCAGCATGGAGTTTATTATAGAACAAAGTCGTAAAGCTGGTGAAAAGTGGGATGAGTATGTAATCAACAGCAATCGGTGAGATGTTTCCTCCACTCATATGACGAGGATGCTGTATCCCCATTGTGACGATGGGGGGTCACTGGATCAGATTGGAAGAGAGATAGCGATGGCCAAACAAAAACATGGCATCAGTCCATAAAATCTTTCAAAGTTAGTTTGAGATAATGACTTGCCGATCACCATCGCGTACCTCATTAGATCCGTTGACGATACAGTTGGCATATGGATGATTTGAAACAGCCACAAAGAGATGCAAGGTTAACTTTCTGTGAGAAACAACCAATCAAAAGACTCTATTTTCTACTAACAATAATGTACATTAAAATCTATAAATATGTGTTGATTTTCCTTAATAAGCGATCTGTTGCCCGGCCCTTGACTTCTGTTAATTTTTTTTCAGATGTAAAATAAAATGCAATTTATCTGAAAATAAAAAATCTCCTCACACGTAAAACGTCCCGTCAACTTGGCTGCTGTGAACTTTAAAACGACCACCGTCCAACAGAATCTCTGGCTTCTCCACGTCCGATAACCATTCACGGGCACGAAATGCGGCCAAGTGAGAATAATAAGTTGGCGATGGATACGAGACACTACGCGAACACCTCATGTACGCATAGCATAGGTGGTAGGTGAACAACTGGAGAGCGTCCGATGTCCAGTTACTGTCATCATACAAAACGTGATAATGAGCAGGTTTTGAAGTACCCTGGATCCCTTCTTGTGAGCACAGGTAGAAATCGAATTCCCTGGGATGTGTGATGTCTGTATCAACCACCGTTCCTGGCTCCACGTTTCTCGCCCTAGGCTTGCTCGGTCGAAATCGAATGTGGTGACGCTTCTGCACAACAATATAAGTGATCGCGGGTTCTTCACCAGGACGAATGTCTGCACAAGCTCTCTGAATTGCCGCCAACTCCTCTACCAACACATTCTCGAACTGGCCTTCCGAGACTCCATCACGATAGAATATTATACGCGTTGGGAAACGCCCGTTCGTATTTCGCGAGTAAACCTCAAGCAACTCCTTGACAATAAGACGCATGTCGTCGATTATTTCTCTTGCTCTCTTATTCCCCTTTTCTGTCGTCGCCTGTTGGCGGATCACCACCGCGTACCTCATTAGATCCTTTGACGATACAGTTGGCATATGGATGATGTTACACAGCCACAAAGAGATGCAAGGTTAACTTTCTGTGAGAAACAACCAATCAAAAGACTCTATTTTCTACTAACAATAATGTACATTAAAATCTATAAATATGTGTTGATTTTCCTTAATAAACGATCTGTTGCCTGACCCTTGTCTTCTGTTGTTACAGTAATAATAATCGTAATAATAATAACCGTAAATTCGTTTGCTATTGATTATTTAGCAAAATTTACCCAATAGCATATGATAACTGTGGGACAAATTACACTAGACTAAACCTAAGTTCTGCGACACTCAGTGAGTAATGAAAAGTCTTTCAATGTATATATGTGTAAAATTTGAATTGAGAATGAGGTCAACGCATTTTAAGACAACTGATGCGATAACGGTCTCTTAGGCTGTAAGCGCTTCCCCTAATTTCCAAATCATTTAAGGCGGAGAAATTTGCGAAACCTTCTCCATTCTCATTTATTTCACCGCATGCCACGATTGTTAGTGGCTGTCTGTCTGTTTTCGACATAGAACTTTGGACATATGTGCGGCAGTTCAAGTCGCCACACTCCATGTAGCACACAAAGCAAGAGAAGAAATTAGGAGAAATGCATAATAAAGACAGTAAACAGAGGTGTGAGACAAAGGTATAGTATAATGAAGAACACAACAGTTTCATTGGAAATCATAAGTCACAAGGAGTGGATGCATCTGCGCCATTGAGAACGATTTTGAGGCATGTCACCAATTGTTTCCAACCATTGGTTTTTACCATCCCGAGGACCTCAACCAGGAAGTCTACACCTTCCTACGTGGCTCAGACTAACTGTTGTGGAATTCATTGACTGGTGCCATGTTTCAGTTTGACTGCCGCTAGCTCTTTTCCAGCCTGACCCTATATCAGCTAAAATTGCCCGTCGAGGAAGGCGATGACTAGGCATACGTAGCACATGTCCTAGCCATCTCAGTCGATGTAGCTACTTCACAGCCTTGTCAACTGATTTCCCCTCCTTACCTAGCACTCGACGCCTAACCTCAATATTGCTCACCTTATTATACCACTTCACGCGGGAGATGGAACGCAGACACCTATGATCAAAGACAGCTAATCTTTTCATGTCCTCCGCTCTCAATGGCCAGGTCTCACAGCCATAAAGGAGGACGAAGCGGAATGCTGAGCAGTACACACACCCTATGGTCGAGAGTCTAGAATCTGTCGGAGAGTGAAGATATGATCGATACACCCGCTTCCTGGCCTAAAGCCTGGCTGGTTTTCTCGTGTTTGTGCCTCCCGAGCACCATTTAGTCTACGCATGATTATTGAGCCTAGGACTTTAGATACTATATTAGTCAAGCTAATCCCTCTGTGATTATCACAGGAAGAATAGTCTCCCTTCTTGTATATCGGGATAATCAGTGACTTACACCAACCCGATGGGACTTCCTCTGATTCCCAGACGCTGCCTAGCACCTCAGTTAATGCAGACAGTAAACTGTCTCCACCGTACTTAAATACCTCTGGAGTTATTCCATCAGGTCCCGCTGCTTTGCCTTGCTTCAGATTAGTGACAGCTTAAGTAACCTCAGTTAAGGACGGAGGACCTGTGCCTATATCCCATTCAGTTTACAGTTTACAGTTTACAATTTATTTAGGATAGTAGGCTATATGCCTGTGTTAATCCTTTCGATTTGTTACACACAGGAGGTCCAATCTCGCCTTGAATGAATCAACGGATGGCGCTGATACGACGTGTTCCGGTAGGGAGTTCCAATGGTTCACAATCCGATGCGAAAAACGGATCTCCAGACGCAGACGATTCGACCGTGGCTTTTGAACCTTGAGGTGATGTCCTCGCAATTGATTGGTGCTAGAAGGAAGAAATAAATTAGATAAATTTGCTCCAAAATCATTTCTTAGGATACGGTATGCTAGTATTAGGTCACTCCTAAGTCGTCTGTATGACAGTGGAAATAAACCCAGTCGACTTAACCTCTCCTCATATGAGAGGGTTGAGAAACCCTTTATTAGCTTAGTTCCTACGCTTTGCACCCTTTCTAATAAGTCTATTTCGTATTTGAAACACGGGCTCGCTGCCTGGATCCCATATTCCAAATGAGGTCTGATATAAGTCGGATATAATATACGAAATATTTCAGCGTCAAAATTTGCAAAAGCTTTGCGTATGGCCCATAATATTCGAAAACCCTTAGTGGCTGCAGCTCTACTGTTTGTTGCTGTTTTCAAGTCATGCTGCACAACCACTCCCAAGTCCTTGTACTCAGTGACCACTGGGAGAGTAATGCCATTCATTGAGTAATTGTGCACGTGACTATGAGATACATGCATAACTACACTCTTGCTTAAGTTAATCTCCAAGGCCCAGTGCTTACACCAATCACTTAACAAGTTTAAATCTTCCTGCAAAGCAAGTTGATCACTGTCATCGTGTAAGGCCCTCCATATCTTGATGTCATCAGCAAACAGTAAGCAGGATGACCTAAGTACCGATGGAATCTCATTAACATAAATCAGGAAAAGAAGTGGGCCTAGAATTGTACCCTGAGGAACGCCACTTTTAACTGATTCCCATGTTGATAAAACCCCGTTAACTCGTACTCTTTGTCTTCTATCCTTTAGAAAGTCTTGAATCCAGTCGGCAACCACTTTATTGATTCCCATACTGCCTAACTTTACTAGAAGACCTGAATGAGAAACCCTGTCAAACGCCTTGCTAAGGTCGATGAATATGGCATCCACCGGTATATTAGCATCAGCTGAGGTGTTGAATGTTTGGCAGGTTAAGCGTGGCTGTAGGCCAATTAAACTGCTCTTCATAGTGTTCTTTCCAGCGCTCCAGTCGTTTATCCTGGGAGCTAATTATGGTGCCATTTTTCTCCGAGATTGTTTCGCTTATCATTTACCTTTTGCCACCTGTTTCCCTGATAAGCCTGAATAGTTGTCTGGTGTTCCAATCGCCGATGCCTTTTCCATCTCTTTCGCTTTTGTCACCCACCACTGTTCACGGTCGTTGCAATGACTTTTTGTTAGTTTTCGTTTAAGTACCTTTCGCTCCTCATCATAATCGGAGCTCGCTGGAATCAGTCTCCTTGCGTCAGTCAGTTCGGATAAGGCGGTAGAGATCCAATGGCTTTTATTAACTTTAGGTTTTAGCTTTCACAGCTGTGTCTACAGCTAACTGTATGTTGTGCTAGGCTACCTCGGGGGAAGTCCTGCTGTCGATCTCAGAAACTCGTTTCGCTATTTCTTCCTTAAATAAGGACTCAGTGTCTCGATCTACGGTTAGTGGCTGAAATTATCAGTGGTCTATCCCGGTTTGACTCAGCTAATTGTTGAATGTCTTTGAGACCGTTTGAATACTGTCTGGCTAGCTGACTCCTTGGTAAAAATTTTAAATATGCAGCTTACACACAGTTCTAGGTGAGAGTTCGCTACATATATTCCTTTAGAAACCCAGCATACCTTTTAATTAGGTTCAAGGTGAAGGAAACTTAAGGAAATTCTTGAAAGATCTTCAAACTAAGTGAACACTGTCAGGTTTGAATTCCACTCCAGCTACTTCTGACGTGATATAGTACTGGAGTGCACCGACTATTGGTTTTAAGATCGAAAGTAAGGTGTTCAAATGTGTGGACCATCCTTTCACCCACTTATTTGAGAAGTCGCATCACCCTATATCGGCTGTCTGATTGTTGATGAAATTTGAGGATGGATGTGAAAGTTTTGTGTGGCTTTGGTGTGGGACCAAAACATGCCACCAATTGAAGAAGTCTCTAATTGCTGGTTTCAACTGCATATGGAGGAGGGCGTAAACACTGTCGAGGTGTGCTCCTAGAAAGGTTTAGAATCAACTGCTGGAGAAAATTGAGATGCATCGAGCATACACGCAGAAGAGACAGGTGGGTATCATCACACGAGTCTGAATTGAAGACAGGAGTGTAAGACAAGACTGCCTACTATCACCGATAACACTCTTGATAATAGTGAACTACTGGGTCACACAACAAAGCGTCAGTGTGTAGCAAGAAGACGGATATTTGTTGGGCTGAAAAAGACTCTCTAGGACTTCTGTCTTTCGAGACTCTTCTGTAACTGATGTCGTACAAACGCGAAGATCTACAGGCGAAAACAAGTTGTCAGAAGAGACAGCGAAGATGACATTCGAAGTGGATATAGAGTTGATGAAAGTACCCAACGACCAACGTGGATAACACAGCTTAGTCACTATCACTTATGAGAGGTCCAAACGAGGTCACCTCTTTCGCTTACATAGGCAGCGTGCGTTCAGCTACAGGCGGAACTAGTGACAATGAAAAAGAGAAGACATTCAGCGAAGAGACTCTTTTCGGCGAATTCATTCATATAGCTGTACAATCACATTTATATATAAATATTTGTGTGTGTGTGTGTACATGAGGTTTGTCAAGTTTAGATAATTGATTAGTTAGTACAGGAATGATGTAGTATAGAGACAAAGTTAATCAGACAGCAACTAAAGTAAGACTGAGTTAAAAAGATAGATGACGTAATATAATTGGCTAAAATGTTACAACTTAGGTCAGGATAGCAACAGAGGTAATTACAGGTAGAGATTAAGTAGAAGTGAAATTGAGTGAATAAGTTGGATGACGTAACATGAATGACTAGAAACTGAGCGTTGTTCAAGTCAGTAACAGTGGTAGTGAGGTGTAGAAATTGAATCGGGTGGGGGTAGAGAACAAGAAAGTTGAAAATGTAAAATGTTACAATTGAGAAGACAAAAAAATACTAATGAAGAGACAGAAGAAAGGATTACAATGGACGTAATCTATCTTATTAGCCGACATGTAAATTCTACCTAATCTTTTCTTCTGTCTCTTCATTAGTATTATTTTGTCTTCTCAATTGTAACATTTTACATTTTCAACTTTCTTGTTCTCTACCCCCACCCGATTCAATTTCTACACCTCACTACCACTGTTACTGACTTGAACAACGCTCAGTTTCTAGTCATTCATGTTACGTCATCCAACTTATTCACTCAATTTCACTTCTACTTAATCTCTACCTGTAATTACCTCTGTTGCTATCCTGACCTAAGTTGTAACATTTTAGCCAATTATATTACGTCATCTATCTTTTTAACTCAGTCTTACTTTAGTTGCTGTCTGATTAACTTTGTCTCTATACTACATCATTCCTGTACTAACTAATCAATTATCTAAACTTGACAAACCTCATGTACACACACACACACAAATATTTATATATAAATGTGATTGTACAGCTATATGAATGAATTCGCCGAAAAGAGTCTCTTCGCTGAATGTCTTCTCTTTATCATATGGCTCAATGGGGATTTTCTACTAGTGACAATGTCAAAACCAGTCAGGGTCAGAAAGGAAGACCATCCATTCATTATTCAGAAGTCCGTGAAGAAATTTACAGCATTCACTCACCATAATATCAAATCAGACAGTGCTTACATGTGTATATATATGCCCTTTAAAGACCGGACCTTTCTAAAAGGCTACTGCAGAGGAGACTTTCCATACTGAATGAGCAACAAGGAGCTGTCGCACTGCAACGATGCCACCAAGAACTAATCGCCTAACTAAGAAATGCGCTGAATGATATTGAGATGAATCGGACACATGTTGGGGAGACAATAAATTGACATCACACACCAAACAAGCCACCGCCCTAGCGGAAACCTAAATAGAAAACGGCGAGTTGAGCGATGACATGGAGGTGGTTTGCGGAATAGTAGGTGGAAGTTTACTAGCAAACCTGAATTCAGGTAGAAAAGACAGCAAAGAACAAGATGATAGGGAAGAGTGCCCCTCAGCTACAGGCCCTGTGTTCCACTCGGAACTCAAGGGAAATTGTAAATGTGCATTCATACATTATTTTTTTTGTCGGCCTTAATGTATGTGACTAACTCTCGTCTACTCCATCGTTTTTTATTTCTTTCAGTTGTTTGTGGCCAATAAACTTCACAAATTAGGCTTTATTATCACTGAGGGAGAGATGCATAAGTCATCCCTCACTCTGAGAGGAAATGCATCGAAACACAATAGTGATGAATTATCCGGTGCTGGCGTTTAACACGGCACAACGCTATTTGGTCGCAGCGACAGCCGCATCAACGAAGGCAGTACTCTACGGAGAAACGAGTTTATTTTTTTCAAGTTGTTTTTGAGAATTTCTAAAAGAAAACTGTGATCATATACTTGAAACTATCCTACTTATGTGTTTAGAAAGAAGTAGTTATCAGTCTTTCCTTGCCGTGGTAACTTGGTGTCTTTATTCTCTTTTTTTCATTCGATTAGGTAATCTTTGGCTTTAACCTCGCCCCTTTGGATATAGTGTAATTTTGCTTGTCTCTTGTTTCCATGGTTTGGGTTGAACTCAGTACATTGTTACTCCCAATTTATAAGTTACTAACCTCCTGTCTTTATTATGTAACTCCTTTACCATTGGATGCATGCATTTACTTTGTTTAAACTTGAAGTCCCTCTGTAAAAACTATATAAGTGTAATTTTCTGAGCACTATTCACTACGTCTAGACCCTCCTGCCAACCGACATCACGTAAAATTTCGCAAGTATGTTCGAAATTTTCTGTACATGAACTTAATAATTAACTTAGGCTGTTAGCAGCTGATGAGAAAGCAACGAAATGGTGCCACTTTATTCTGCAAAAACTGTTGTTCTTGGTTTAGTCAAATTCATAAAGGGGAATAAATGTATGAAATTTATAAATGCTTTCTGTGTTGATTTTTTCTAATTGGGACGGATGCTTCATCCAGATTTATTTTTCCTTTAATTATTGGTAGAGGTAGAGTTATGGTTTGTAGAATGTCACCTGGTTCGCCTAGTTCGCTAGTTTATTAGCCCCTCTTCGAAGCTCGGAAAAGGTGGCAACGCTGAGCCAGCGATCTTATCACGGAAAATCAACTTAACCTCTGTAGAAACCGCAAAGCATAGCAAAAATATAAAGATTTAACTTATTCTCCTCATTAAGATCCATAGAGACGAAATGACGTGTGTCAATGAGAGCAAGTTATCCAGCCCACGCGTATCTTCTTTCAATGAGAAACCAAAAATAAGTATAGGAGATGAAATGTCAGTGCAATATTTGAAACCTACTGGAAAGGCTGTAGAAATTGCCAAAGATATGAGAAGATATGGTGCATAGAAGTGCTGGGAATTTGTGAGAGAATGTGGAATTCATGTAGACTCTTCAAATTGTTGACTGTAGAGTCGAAATCCTACTGCGACCAGTCGGACCGTGAAGAGTGAGAAGACAGGTATTCTTTGGACTGATAAGACATCTGTAGTAGATTCGTACTTTGTAGATGATTTATGCCTAGTGTCACAAAAACACGAAGATTCACAGGCAATAACCAACAACAACATTGTGCATCAATCACCGTGAAAGGCTGAAATTTGAGAAAAGTCATCTAGGCAGCGTCTTTTCAACTACAGGCGCTGGCAAAGATGAGGATATCGAGGTCAGGATGAAAAACAAGCAAGACAAACAATTAGTTCTGTGAAACCAGTGTGGAAATCTGCTGCACCCAGCACAAGGAACAAAGTTCGAATTTCTTATACGAATACCAAGTCAGTCAGTACTTCTATATGGCTCAGAGACTTGGTGCGTCGCTTAAAGCATTCCCAGTCGGCAACTGAAGACTTTTATCAACAGCTAACTTCGCTGACTTGACGAGAGGGCTGGAAAGGATAAGTGACAGGGACCTCTGTGGAGGCACCAAACAAGAACCTATCGCCCAATAAATCTGCCTAAGGAAATTGAGACGGATTCGCCGCACGCTAAGGAAACCGTTGAGCAACATTACACGCCAGGCAGTAACTAAAGTAGAGCTTGAATTCGAAATGATAAGTCTGGGGTGGCATGCAGCAGATCGTGTGAGAATGACGAGATGAGAGCCTATGGGCAGTCGTGGAGCTAATGAAAGACGACTGCAGAGAATAGGACAAAATTTGATATACTGCTGATGCACTCTGTCCCACTCCGAACCCTAGGGGATAATACTAATAGTAAGCTCTTCCGCTTCAGTTGCATAACTGTCTCAACAGATAATCCTGATATGGGTAGTATCATTTAGTGTTCATTTCATTTTGGAATCCCAGGAAGCCATAAAACTATCCAACAACACTATCTGAAACACCATAGTACAGAATCGATTTCTTTTCCTCCCTCGCCCTCACTATTTTGAAAATTGTGTCTAAACTTGAGAATAGTTCACTCACTGAGTAGTTTTTTCATTCTTGTAACGACTACTCTCAATGGAAAATTCAAGTTTCACAAGAAAATGTTTATTTCATACATTTTTTCAGGTGATTCACTACTGAAAAATAGTTAATGGTAGTTTTTATAAACCTTCAAATAAGCCCAAGCAAAAAATATTTATGAAATTCTCCTCTCTTTCTAGACAGATATTTTCAGTAAACTCTGGTATTATTTTAGTTTCTTTTATGGGGTAAGACAGCCAAAGCAAATGTTCAAATATCTTATTATCGACAAATTCTTAGAACTAGCACAGGATGAGAAACAAGATGGAAAATCGGTATGTCAGACATGTAAATTGGTTTATTTGATTACTGACCTATCTTTCAGTCGCAGAGAAAATATCTCACTAGATACGATGGAGAAGATGAATTTTCAAGAGTTAGTTTGTCTGGGGACGGTTTGATTTTGTTTCGTGGGACTTATCAGCAGTATGTACATGAGGAAACAGTTCCTCGGGATTTATGTAAATCTTTATATAAACTCACAAAAGATGACTTTCTGAATCTCTCTTCTAGTTTTAGATATAAATAGTCAGTAAATTATTATACTTAAAGTAATACAGAATATGTGTAGCTCAGGTGGATGATTTGCAACTACTAACTGCAAATTATAATACTACTTTATTTTCAACATATATCAAAGAAATACCTATAGTAAAACAACTGTTGAGAGAGATACGTAGGTCGTTCAATCCGTTTTTCATCTAGCGAAGAACATTATCTCTTGATGGCTATGGAAACGCATAAATGCATCGATAAAGAGTTCTGTAACCGAACCTCATATATATTCAACTCTGGTCAGTCGACATGCAACTAGAATTCATTCAAAGTTATATTTGCAAAATCAAAAGAAGCCTCCCGGTACAAAAGGTATTCTTCCGTATTTACAGATACGGAAACCCCTGATTGACACGTACACATAGAAGAAACTTCTTCATCTCAATCCGCGGAAAATCTAGTTGAAGAATTCCCAGAAGCACCTGAAGGCTAATCTAGCAAAATTGCAATTAAGCGAAATTGAATTAAAAGCCTTATCTCTGAGATTCAATTTTGAGGTTCACATGAAGCACATCAATCGTATAGACACAGAAGCATAATTCAAGCACTTATACCATCGACTCTACGTCCTGACACCCTCAGACGAAGATAAAAGAGGATGGCTAAAGTAGTTGATATAGCTAGCCAACACCATATATCACCAATGGAGAAGCAGAAGATAATGACCGAAGAGCACAGAATATCTCTGAAGAAACTATACGATTACGATGATATCGTCATATTTAGACCTGATAAAGGCAATGGGGTTGTTATAATGAACAAAGCCGATTATATACATAAAACGGTGACAATTCTAAACTACACAGAAAAATTCCAAGTAGACAGTAAAAGGGTGACACAATTTCATTTGAAAATAAAGTGAATTATTGTCTCAAAGAACTTCTAAGGAAGAAATTAATAAACTACGACAATACAGTGAACTGAAATCAAAAGGTGGACGCTCGCCATTTATGTACGGCCTACCAAAAATCCATAAAGCAAATGTGCCCTTAAGAACAGTCCTGTCAATGATTGCGTCACCACGCCACAAGCTAGCTCGAGGGTTAGCTGATCCTATAGAGCCGATTCGAATTAAATTTGCAACCCACAGTCTGAAGGATAGCTATCAATTTCCCAGCTGAGCTCTTCTATCAATGGAACAGCCTACTATCGCCGATATGTTGATGACACATTTGTTGTTGGCAACGAGATGGATCACGCATTGGCATTATATGATCGCCTAAATGAGACCTGTCCAAACATAAATTTTACCATGGAATATGAACATAACAATGAGCTCAATTTCCATAAGCTATAAACGTGGATTAGTGAGGACTTTGTACGAGACAGCCAGAAAGCTGTTTTTACCCATCAAGGTGGAACAAGAATTAGGTTTCGTCGATAAATGCCTAAGAGAATGTGGATACCCTAAGGAATTTATACAAAAGTACAGCAGAGACAAAGATAAGAAAGAAAAACACCCGACTGTAGAAAAGAAGAAAGTGTTTATTTGTCTCCCATTCAAAGGAAATGCAATGTCACAAAAGATTGGCAAGAGAATGGAAGGTGCAATAAATGGAAGCTTCCCTGCAGCTAAAATCATGACATTATACAGCACCACTTCTTCTATAAGCCACTGAAAACTGGATAAATACCCTGCTGATGTCACCTCCAACTGCGTTTATGAATTTACGTGCACTTGTGGGAGCAAGTACATCGCAAGGACGGAAAGAAGGGCTTCTATCCGGTTTTCTGAACATATTCTAAGAAACCTGTGCCTGAAAGGAAGCAAATATCCTCAGAGTGCAATTACCAGATATCTTGTTGATACTGATCATCTCGTAGAGGTTTTTGAGTCATTCATTCATACGATTTGCCAAAGCGATCGCAATCAAACGACTCAAACCAGACTTATGCATACAGAAAGAGAGTGTGATTAATCTCTCACTCCCTTGATAACTGAATTTTGATTTTGATTACGTAAATTAGTCATCTAATTTAGTGATGTCAACTCACTGAGCAAATCTAAATCTTATAAACTGTAACCACTTTTGTTTCCCGAGTTGCTATGTGAAGTTACATGCTGACACTGTTGATTATTTTTTTCTGTTTTCTGTCCTCCCCTTCCCCCTCTTTTCTACTTTGAAAGCGTATAGATTGATGATGCAAACTTAAACTAAAAATTGTAATGCTTACATTTTAGATACGTCACTTCTATAGTATCTCTTCTCTACTACCACTTAAACATTAAAGTATGTTATTATCATTTGTAAAAGCATTGTAATTTCAGATCGTCTGCAGCTGATGTGAGCCTGTGAAATAGAATGATATAATTTTATACTGCAAATTTTGTCTTCCTTTCTTTACCGAAATTTACCAAGGGAACCAAATGTATGAAGAAAAAACTTTAGATTGAAAATTGCTTCAGTCAACTCAGTGACTGTTCAGTGGTGTTGCTTTTACATGTTGTTCACAGTGTTTAGTTTTTGAATTGATTAACTGATTACCTGTGGAATGACGGTTTAGAAGGGGAGGCATCCTTTCCTTACATACCGAAAATGTCAGCTAGATGCTTGTGACTATTCCAGTGAGTGATAGTGTTCCAACTGGGATTCCAACAGAACATCTATAAATAATTCTTTATTCTCTAAACAACATTATTTTGTCCCTGGTTAGTGCATAGAGTGACTTCTTTTGTCTTTGAGGAATCTTCATAAGCGAATGGGATTAACAATTCTTACAACTAATCTCCTAGTAAACTTTTTTTATCCCTGACCCTGCAGACTGGTAATTCTCAAGGAGACTCAAAGATAACTATTCAAAAGATATATTTTACCGAAATGTGCGAGTGAGAAATACGAATGTATCTACTGGCAATTGTTAGTTAGAGGAAGGAACATGAACTATTT